ATACAAAGCAAGAGAACAATCAAATTGATAAATAAAGCAAAGCTTATTTTTTAAAAGAGCAATAAAATTAATAGACATGATATTTAATTTTAAAAAAGTAGCACAGAATCTCACATTTGAAAAAAACCTATGACTTCTCTTTGAGGACCTTCAAGGCAGAAGAACTCTTTACATTCCTCCCAAAAATCAATCCACTTTTGGACAGTTTTAATCGCTGGGAAGTTTTTCTATACATCTTGCCTAAATTTACCTCTCTGCAATTTTTCAGTATTGCTCCTGGTTCTTCTGGACAAATCAGCCTTTTGGGGGACAAACAAACAGTTCTAATCCCTCTTCTATATGATAGCCTTTCAGGTATTTGAAAACAGCTATCCTGTTCTCTCTGAGCCCTCTTGCCACCTGCTTAAATATTCTCCTTTCACCAGCTTATTATATGACATGGTGTGTAGACCCCTCATAATCCCAATCACTCTTCTCTGAACACATTTCTCCTTGTCATTCCTCCTTGTTCCTTCTATAATATAGTATTCAGGCCAAACACAATGTTCCAGATGTTATCTGTTACTTCATTGAGTTTAACGTATTTCTACGCCAAACTCTTTTGTATGTGTATGCCTTTTGTCCAGTTTACATAAAAGGTCATGTGACGCTCATTCCCCTCAACCCTTCTTCCTTTGAATATTATTCTCTTTGCACATATTTGTATGTTATTCCCCAACTGTGAGTCCTACCTTCTTCTTTCTCATTTTTTTTTTTACCTGATATATTCCTTTCTCACTCCCTTTTCCCCCTTACGGTTATCAAAACAAAAACCACCCCAGACTCTCTCTTTGTTTTATTTAATTCCCAGTGTAATCCTTAAAAGTATTCAGGTTATGAAGAGATATTGGCTTCTTCACCTGTATAAGCGTTTCATCATTATGGTGGCTCTTCCATTTGTTTGAATGTATTTACCTTCCCGGGTTTCTCTTGACTCCTGTGTTTGGATTTCAGAATATATACTCAGTGCTGATCTTGTCATCAGAAATTCTTGAAAGTCCTCTAAGCCACTGAAGGTCTTCACCCACCCATCAGGGTTATACTCAGATCCTGTAGGATATGTTTTGCCTTTTGGAATATCACACTCGGATTTTCTCTTCTTTATAGTAGTGAACTAAGTCAAATGAGTTAAGATATATAAAGGGAGCTTAATAAACATTTATTAAGCACCTACTGGGTGCCAGGCATCCATGCTAAGCCTTGGAGATACATTTAATAAAAGCAAAGACCATTCCTGCCCTCAAGGAACTTATAATCTAAAGAGACAACACACTGTAGGAGATAGGAAAGAAGAATGGGGAGCTAGGACTCCAGGGGGTACCTGGAACCAAGGGTGTCTTGTTCCGTGGAGTTGGAACCAGGCAGGGCAGCAGGTACAAAGTGGAGTGAGGAGCTGAGAGCCCTCTATCCTCCAGGCTTCTAGTTAGAGGGGAGAGGAAGCTGAGGCAGGTGGTGTCAGGGCTTGAAGTCACCCCTGCTAGGTGCTGAGATTAGAGGGGATGAGATTAATGGGGGAAGGGGGGGAGGGCATCTCATGAAGAGAGATTTTTCTCCAACAAACAAACAATAATCCCAGGATATCTGTGGATTAATCCCTTGTTCTCCTGAATGAATGTCTAAAAGTGCAGCAATAGTCCGAGGTAAGGCCAAATCCAGGTTCAAAATTATCTATTGCTGACCTATTCCCTTGGAAGGGTTTAGGAGTCAAGTCATGGTGTCTGGTTTAGAAAAGGAGAGACCACAGATGCTCTGTAATCATGTTTTACCTCCGCATTGTTACCAGTCATTCTTGGAAATAGAGCAGCAAAAATACTGCATAATCAATTGATTTTCAGTGTGTAAGCATGTTAAGTACTTATCTATACCATGAGTTAATACTGGGAGACAAAAACAAAACATTCCCTGCCCTCAAGGAACTTAACCTTTGAACAAAAGAGACATCATGTGTGAGGGGTGTGTGCTTACTCACACACACACACACAGACACACACACACACACACACACACAAACAAACAGATATAAGGTCAAGGGGAAGGAGAAGGGAAGGCACCAGCAGCTTGAGGGTTAAGAAAGGATTTTTGTAGAAGGTGGTGCTTGACCTGAGAATTTTGAAGGAAACAGGATTTCAAGAGTTAGACATGAGGAGGGAGAGCATTCCAGGAATGGTGGGCCACCGGAGCCATGCCACAAAGATGGGAGATAGAGTCATGAATGGAGGATAGCAAGAAGGCCAGGTTGACTGGACTTGTTGGGGTGTGGAGGGGAGTAATTTGTTTGGCGTATGTAGAAGGAAGTCATTTGTTAATAAAGATGGAAAAATAAGTATAGGTCTAGGACAGGACTTGAACCCTGGTCTTCCTGACTTCAAGGCCAAATTGTATCTGCTTTACCATGCCACCACTTGCTCAGGCAACAGGCTCAGGAAAATAGTGGAATATAATGTACACCTCCTGATATATCACTTAAAACAGTGACATATCAAATATTTAGACATTGACCTACCAAGACACACACACACACACACACACACACACACACACACACACACAAGACCTATATAAAATGACTTTTAAAATATCTTAGAATAATCTTTAATATCTTAATATTAAAAAAAGAACATTTCTTTATAGAAATAGAGGGAAATTAAATAATTGAAGAGATGCAGTGCCATGTGAGTGGGTTGAACTATTACAATGAAAAAAGGTAATACTCAAATTAAATGTAGATTGAATTCAATATTAATCCAAATTCCAGTGCAATTCTTTATAGAATTTGATGGGGGGAAAAGTTCATTGCTAACTAAGAAAGTTATAAAAAAAAAAACAAAGGTGGACTTGCTCTGCCAGATCTTAAATTATACAATAAAGCAGTCATTATCAAAACTGTCTCCAGCTAAGTGTTTTTAAAAAAAAAAAAAAAAGATCTGTAGAACAAATTAGATAACTGAACCTGAATGAAGTGAATACAGCAGGTTGGTGTTCAGTAAATCTAAGATTACATAATACTGGGGAAGGAAATCATTATTCAGTAAAACCTGTTGGGAATATTGCATAGCAAGTTGGTGAAAAATGGGTTTAGAGTCTAAACTTTAGACCCACAACTCAACCTCAATACCACAATAATGTCTAAATAAATCAACTATCTAAATATTTTAAAGTGTTTAAATGAGAGAATAATGAAATGGTGTGTCCTGCAGTTGTAGAGAAGTGAAAAAAACTTAGCTGTTTATTAAATAGAGAAGTTACAAAAGACAAAATCGACATATTTGAGTATACGAAAAGAAGTTTTTATACAATCGGAAGCAAGCCATATGAATAAGAAGCAAAGAAACAGATATGATTCCTTGTGAGAAACATTAAGCCCTGTATCCTAAATCTATGAAGAATTTATACACATTTCTAAGTGAGACCCATTCCCTAATAGAGAGGTAGTAAAAGGAAAAGAACAAAAACACATTCTCAATAAGCACATGAAAAAGTATTCACATTGCCAGGTTAGTTGTTTACATTAATGGTTGATGTTAAAGTTTTAATTTTAAAAAATGGACTAGACCTCTGAATTCTTTGGTGTAGGAAACTCCCATTGAGGAAAGTCTCTATTGATCCAGATCAGAAACTGCCCTTCAATTTAGAGAGTGTCCTGGTGCACAGAAGATCAAGTGACTTGCCAATGTCACACAGCCAGTAGGTGTCTAAGATGGGAACTGAACCCAGAGCTTTCTCAGCCCACTTTGCTTCTAGCTGCCTCTCCAGTGAAACGTTATCAATCAGAAGCATAAATTTTTAAAAATCTGAGATCCCACCCTACACCTAATTTAAAATGATAATATTCAACACTGGCACTGTTGAAGTATTGAACTGGAAGGTATTGAAAAATAGACACACAGCTGCTTTGCTTTGCTGATGGGACTGTGAAATGAGACCATTTTTTTGGAAAGCAGTACGGAACTATTCGGGAAAAGCTACAGATCTGTGTGTTCCTGCTCACCCTGTAATCCTCACTACTAGGAATCTACCTCAGAGATGTTATTGACAGGAAGAAGAACTATGTATATAAAAATTTTCCTAGCAGCATTATTCCAAAAAACAAAATTGGGAACAACCAGTGTCCAGCAGTTGGGGAATGTCTTAAAAAATTTCCTAAAATGACTGATAGAAATACTACAGCTATATGATGAGCTTTCTAAGCTCATCACCAGGAACCTCATTGCTTCATCTTTGGTACTCACACCTCATCAGTACCCTCAGTTTCTTATGCCCCTATGATTGGAGCTCCTCTCAAAGCCTCCCTATAAAGAGGGCCCAGAACCCAGCCAACTCTTCATTTCCCACCAACTGCATTGCTTGATTTGGTCTCCACCATCATCTTCCCTCCCATCCCATCCCTTTTTAGCTTACTTTTGTGTGCTATCTTCTCCCATTAGATTGTAAGCTCCATGAGGACAGGGACTGTCTTTACCTTTCTTTGCATCCCTAGCATTTAGCACGGTGCCTGGCACATAGTGGGCGCTTAATAAATGTTTATTATATTTATTGTAAATATGGGAACATTCTTACAAAAAGATGTAAAATGAAGAAAGAACCAACAGAACAATATAAACACGGACTCCAACTGTGTATTAATAAGAACAATAGTAACAAGACCTGGACAGAACATTTTGTTTCTACCTTGTTAAAGTTAATATATACACACTTTTAAAGCAAATAATGGAAGGTTAATGATTCATGTACAATATTATTTCTTTTGTTCCTATTATTCCATTTGTGTGTGTGTGTGTGTGTGTGTGTGTATTTCAAGGATATTGAGTGTTTAAAAAAATTATCATTAAAACTTGATTTAAAATGCTGACCTTAAGACCTTTGTCTTGAGGAATAACCAAAGAAAGGGTGTCAAGAGACTAGAGCACACAGTGTTCCCTGTACTATCATCTCTGATCTTTTGTTACTGTTTTGTCCTATAGTATTACAACAAAATGGGGAGAAGGAAGAAGGAGAAATCGGGGATTGTATAGATAAAGTCACAACAACCAAACGCGTTCCAGAAACATCTTTTGAAATAAATCTGAAAGAAAAAAAGTGAGTGACCTTTTGTTGTTGATAGTTGAGTTTTCCTTTTCAGTGTATGCTTTTTGTTTTGGTTTTTAAAAAATATGTGCAACTAATGTCACCTCTGTGTGTCAGCCTTCTTGCTGAACTAATTCTAATGGAATATTTTTTTGCATATGCTTGTGAGAGCACAGAAAAATCTTGTCTCTTTAGATTCAAGTGTATACTTTTTGTTTTCAGACAGTACATATTATGTAACCCCAGATCTTTCCCTTTTTGCTTTAGAAAAGTTGTCATAAATCTTAGAGTCAAATTTATTGCCCAGTTGTGGTAATCTGATCATCATGAGTGCCTATTTCCTTGGATCAGGGGTTCTGAAATTTATTTTGTGTTATGAACCCCTGTGGACCCCCATCTCAGAATAAAAGTTTTTAAATGCACAAAATAAAGTACATGGGATTACAAAGGAAACCAATTATGTTGAAATAGTTATTAAAATATTAAAAATGAAAAACAAGTTTATACACTCAAGGTTTAGAACCCCTGTCTTAAATGGTTTTTGTTCTGTATTTTTTTACTTTTAATATATTTTATTTTTCAGTTGTGTTTTAGCCTATAAATTGTCTCTTAGTTGTGTGAATCTGGAATCATGTGTTTAACCCTGATAAATAGAAAGTTAAGGTGACTTCTTAGGATACACTTTATAGAGGCACAGGGTTGTCATGAGAAGTAAATGCGATATGTAAAATTCTGTGCAAATCTTAAAGCACTATATACATGCTAGCTATTGTTATATTATCATTATCATCATCATCAGTATACATAGAAGGTACACTACAGGCTCCTCAATGATGAAATTTTATTGTTATGATCATTAAAAGTGTTACTAATAACAATACACTATTATCAATAATATTTTTAACAATTATATAACATTATTAATAGCATCAGTAACAACAATAATGTCATTAAAGAGCATCTTTAATGATGTTGTTTTTAATTATTATTAATAACAGCATTATTGATAATAATACAACATTATCAATAACATCATTATTAATTTTCTTGTTTAGTCATTTTAATTGTGTTTGACTCTTTGTGACCCCAGTTAGGGTTTTCCTGGCAAAGATACTAGAGTGGTTTGCCATTTCCTTTTCCAGCTCATTTTACAGATGGGGAAACTGAAGCAAACAGGGTTAAGTGACTTGTCCAGGGTCACACAGTAAGTGTCTGAGGCCAGATTTGAATGCGAATCTTTTTGACTATAAGCCCATCACTTTATTCACTGTGCCACCACCTAACTACTCCATCATTATTACTAATAACAACAATAATAACATCATTAAAGAGCATCTTTAATCTTTTTTATTATTATCAACAATATTACTAATAATAACATAATATTATCAATGACATCATCATTAATAATAACATATTATCAATAGCATCAACCATAAGTGACATTGAAGATCCTCTTTAATGTTATTTTATTGTTATTATCAGTAACATTGATATTGAAAACAACATGTCAATAACATCATTGATAACAATAACATCATGAAAGAGATCTTATTGATGTTATTTTTTGTTATGATCAATATCTTATTGATCATGCTATGTTATCAATATTATTAATAAGAATATTTATAACAATGTTATTAAAGAGAGTCTTTAATGATGGTTTTATTGTTACGTTTAATAATAACACAGTATTATTAATGATAACAATATCATTAAAGAGCCTGTGATGTGCCTTGTGTGGATTTTTGAGATAACCAGCACCATCACATATTATTTGAGGTTACCTGGCAATATCTTCTTTGGCTTTCTGTTTTGTCAGTTTCGGCTGTGTTTGCGATTTGTGATTTTTGCCCCCATTACTGGCATCTTGTCACTGTACTTTCTTTCTCAGGTACCGTGATGATTTTGGTCCTGTGGTTGAGGGCTGTTCCTGTTACTGCTGTAAGAATCATAGTCGGGCTTATGTCCACCACCTCCTGGTGACCAATGAGCTGCTAGCTGGGGTTCTCCTCATGATACACAATTTTCAGCACTATTTTGGCTTCTTCTGCGCTATCAGAGAAGCTCTGAGAAAGGATAGACTGGGACAGCTGAAGGAACTCATCTGCAGGCAAGCATCTTGAGACCCAGGAAATAGAAGATAACCACAAATATTGAACATGGAGAAACTCAGGATACATAACAGACCTAGCTTTGATTGCTGGGCTTTGGGACCAATGATAATAGCAATATTTAACAATTATATAGTGTTTTAAGGTTTGCAAAGTGCTTTCTTTTTCTTTTTCTTTTTTTATATTTATCATCATTGTCATTATTATTTTGGTTACATTTTGAGTTTCAAGTTGTCTCCTGGCCCCCCCCAGCCCTGCGTTAGAGAAGGCCAGTATTTGATATAGATATATATGTGGAATCATACAGTACATATTTCCATATGTCGGTTCTTTTCTGGAGGTGTATAGCATCTTCCCTCATAAGTCCTTCGTAGTTGATGTGAATGATCATATTACTCAGAATAACTCAGTCATCCAGTTATTCCTCAAAGAATATTGCTTTTGCTGTATATAGTATTCTCTTGGTTCTGCTTACTTCATTTTTTTTATTATTTTATGCAAGTCTCTCCAGATTTTTTTGAAATCTGCCTGCTCATGATTTCTTACAACACAGTAATATTTCATCACAATCATATACTGCAACTTATTCAGCCATTCCCCAATTGATGGGCATCCCCTCCATTTCTAGTTCTTTTCTACTACAAAGAGAGCTGCTATAAATATTTTAAAATGTATAGATTCTTTTCCTTTTTCCCGTATCATCTTGGGAAAAAGACCTAATAGTGGTATTGCTGGGCTAAAGGGTACATACAGTTTTATAACTGGGCACAATACCAAATTGCTCTCCAAAATGGTGGGATTAGTTCACAATTTCACCAAGTGTTTCAGTGTCTCAATTTTCCATTCCTCTAGCATTTGTCATTTTCCTCTTCTGTCATTTTGGTTAGTCTGATAGGTGTGAGATGGTATCTCAGAGTTGTTTTAATTTAAATTTCTCTAATCAATAATGATTTAGAATATTTTTTCACATGACTATATCTATAGCTTTGATTTCTTCCAGAAACTGTTCATATCTTTTGGACATTTGTCAATTGAGGAATGGCACATATTCTTATAAATTTGACTCAGTTCTCTATATATTTGAGAGATGATATCTGAGGAACTGACTATAAAAATTTTTTTTCCAATTATCTGCTTTCCTTCTAATCTTGACTACATGGTTTAATTTGTCCAAACCCTTTTTAAGTTAACGTAATCAAAATTATCCATTTTATATCCTACAGTGCTCTCTATCTCTTGTTTATTCATAAATTCTTCTCTTATCCATAAATCTGATAGGTAATATGTTTCATGCTCCTTTAATTTACTTGTGATATCTCCCTTATCTTGGTAAATGGTGTGAGATAATTGTCTATACCTCGTTTCTGCCAGACTGCTTTCCAGTTTTCCCAGTGATTTTGACCAAATAGTGAGTTCTTATCTCAAAAGCTTAGATCTCTTGTGTTTATCAAATACAAAATTACTATAGTCACTAACTACTCTGTATTGTATACCTACTCAGTTCCACTGATCAACAATTCTATTTCTTAGCCAGTACCAGATAATTTTGATAATTATCACTGTATAAAATCTGGAACTGCTAGATTTTCCTTCCTTTACTTTTTTATTTCATTAATTCCTTTGATCTTCTTGACCTTTTATTCTTCCAAATGAATTTTGTTATTATTTTTCCTAGCTCAATAAAATGATTTTTGGTAGTTTAATTGGGATGGTGCTGAATACATAAATTAGTTAATGTAGAATTGTCATTTTTATTATATTGGCTCTATCTACCCATGAACAATTAATATTTCTCTAGTTATTTTAATCTGACTTTATTTGTACAAAAATGTTTTATAAATATGTTCATATATCTCGGTAAGTGTACTTCCAGGTATTTTATATTGTCTATGGTTATTTTAAATGAAGTATCTCCCACTCCCTTCCACATTTAATAATTGATTCTATTCTGTAACTGACCCTGTTCTGTATTACTGCCCCATTTTGTATGCTTGCTCAAGCCACATTTATATGTCCTTTAGTTAAGCTCAGGAATGCAGTTTTTCCCTTTGAGTTAATTAAAAGGTATAATTAAAAGGGAATGTTATCACTCATACTGTTAGTCCCTGAAACATCTCTTGTTGTCTCTAAGCCCCAACTAGCTTAACCTGGTCTCATCCCCCAAAAGTTATGTCTCTTTCCTTGACTGTCCTTTGTACAGTAAAAGAAGATGATCGCTGAGGGGACAGCGAGTCCAGTGGTACTGATCCCCTAACAAATATTACAACAGGCAAATGAGTCCCATAAAACAAATAACATTCTTTAATTGCCAGAGAGGAGTGTGATTACCGTATTTCACCGCATAATCATCACAGATTTTATGACAAATTTGTTTTTGCAAAAGTGAAACGTTTTAAAAAAATTGTACTAGTGTTACTTAAAAGTCATTTATTACTAAATTGTCTTTGGTGCAAGATTAGGATGCATGGAATACTAGTGAATAGATGTTAAAATTGAATACTGACAATGCACGTGTTGAGAATTCTATGCTGGCGGCATACAATGCACGAGAGCTAAGCGTATATCCATATGCCACTGGTGAATACATTGCTGCTCTGTTTACCTTTTAAGTGGTTGTGATGAACAGAATTATGCCATGTGGCGATTAGGTGATAAAAGGATATAAACCAAATTTTGGACTGAAAAAAAAGGTTATTAAAAAAAAAAACATACCAGGGTGTGACAGTTAATGTGGTGAAATACGATAACCTCACCTGAATGTCAACCCACTTTTCTTAGTATAGCCAATAGTAATATTTCTAGGACCCCCCCCCTTCTTTCTTACATGTCAATAAAGAGGGTTCCCCCCCCCTTCTCACTGAGGTCACTGGCCTTATTTACTGAGGGGGCCAGTGTGACCTGCTTTGTTAATAGTTATCCATATCACTGTTAGTAAACTGATTTTGCTTGGAGTATGTTCCTCAATTTACCTTTAATGAATTTATTCACAACAACAGAAAGAACTTGAGAGTCAGGAGACCTGGGTTCAGGTTACAATTCTGTCATCAATCTGGTCATATTAGATAAATACTTTCTATGAGCCTCAGTTTTCTCATTTTTTAAATAGAGATGAAACATATTCCCTTCACTTATAAGATTATTGTGAGGATGAAATGAGGTAATATATGTAAAGTGTTTTGTAAATTGTAAAATGCTGCGTAATTATGAACTGTTGTTAGGAGTAGCAGGATTTAAAGTCTGAGTAGTGTGAAGTTCATTAGTGACTTGACATCAGCAGACCCTAAGGGTGCAAAGACCTTCAATGAATGCATGCCTGGAATGTGTCCCTCCCCTCACCTCTTGGAGTCCCTGTGATCTTTCAAGTCCCAGTTCTGGAAGGTACTTCCTCCTGCAAAGAATCCTTTCCTGATCTCCTTCCTCAAATTATCTTGTATTTACTTCTCAGCATACGTGTCTTCCTTCCTGTACCACCCCCAGAAGATGAGAAGCTGCTTGAAACTGTTGAATTTTGGTTTTTATATTTCTTGTATGGAACATTGTACTATGTTCATCATTGTTGTTCAGTTGTTTCAGTTGTGTCCAACTCTCTGAGACCCCATTTGGCGTTTTCTTGGCAAAGATACTAGAATGATTTGCTCTTTCCTTCTCTGGCTCATTTTACAGATGAGAAGACTGAGGCAAATATGATTAAGTGACTTGCCCAGAGTCACACAGCTAGTAAGTGTCTGAGGTTGGATTTGAACTCTTGTCCCTCTGCCTCTAGGGCCAGTACTCTATTTATTGCATCACCTAGTTGCCCCACTATGTTCTTAGTAGGTACTTAATGCATATTTGTTGAATAGAATTGAAATGAATTGAATCAGTGTCACCTCTCAGCCTTCCATGACTTCTCCTGGTATGTATCGATTTAAGGTATATCCATTTTAAATTTTATATCATATTTTGTTCATTATTCTAACATGTCACTGTACTTTTTTTTTTCCGTCTTCCAAGCATCATTACTCATTTTTTTTTTTATCATTTGGTCCTGGGAACTGACATTTATCCTCTTTTACAAATATTTGTATTTGGAGTATTCATGACCACATTTATAACCTATCACTCTCACAAAAGGCAGGGGATACTTAGAGGGCAGAAGGTCCCTGCTTTCAAGGAATATACAGTGTAATTGATGTTAAAGAATCTCTGACCTCTGTAGTTAATCATGACTGTTACAGAAACTATTAGAATTAGAAGGGTGTGAATAACCACGAAACCCTATTAATGTGGGTTTTATTTGTGTCTAACTATAACAAGGCATTTTCCTTATATTTCTCATTTTAAGGAAATCGTTTTGTTATTAGTTATTAGTATTATTTGTCATTATATCTAATACTATAGTTATTATTTGTTATTAAAATTTTTTTTTAAAATTTTTTTCCATTAATAAAATATCTTACCTACTTAGACAAAATTACATAGGCAGTAAACATTTTGATTAAAATATGTGAATGTAACAAACTATGTAGAATGAAATTTTGAGCTGTGCCATAGTTCTGAACATTTGTCCTTGGGGGAACATTACAAAAGAAGCTCTGGAAACTCTTCTGATTATATTAGCAGCATGATAGAGCAGAAAGAGCATTAGGCTAACTGGCTGAACACCTGGGTTCTACTCCTACCATGCCATTTACCATGGGTATGGCCTTGAATGAGTCTTTTAATCTTGTAAGTCTCTGCTTTCTCGTCTGGCTTCAGCATCAAAACCCAAATTCAAGTTCTGTTTCTATGGACTGGCTCCATGACCCGGGGGAAGTCACTTCCTCACTCACTGGGCTCTTGGTAACCCTTCAAGACAGGGGTTCTTAACCTTATATGTATCACAGACCCTCCTTAGAATGATGTTTTTAAGTTCCTAAAATAAAATACATAGGATTACAGAAGAAATTTCAAATTACATTGAAATGAAGATGTAATTGTTTGTGCCATCCCAAGTTCACAGACCCCCTGAAATATATTCACAGATCCCTTGAGAGTCCATGGACCCTGCTCCAACGTATGGACCAGTTGATTTTCTGCATTGGTAGACAGCAGTTGCCTCACTGAGAATTCACTATGCCAGTGAAATTACAGATCCAGACAGTAATAGTAATGTCACCAGGACCCACGT